TTTATTTTGAAAGGACTGCTGTCATGTTTGAAAAAGAAATGTTTAGACAAGTATCTCATAGGGATGCGGTATGATACAGGACACTGTGCCGGTGTCCCCTATAATCTCTGGTGCATTATACGGGGACAGATGGCCATGACTGCCCCACATGTACGTTGGCCAAGGGCCAAAGAGCTATGAACTAGTTCCGTGCGCCCAGAGGAACTATAAATATGGATTTCTGTCAAACTATGCTTGCCTGCCCATGTGGCAAGCAGCTTTTGCAAATGAAAAGCAGTTCAGAAGCCCTTTTGCAATACGCTGGAACTGAGTACGGGGTGTGTGTGATCTGTTCAGTGGAAGAAAAAGGTGAAAGATGATGCAAGACCAGCGCATACCCTTTTGCTGTGATGTCTGTAGACTCCTTGCGTCCCAGGCACAGACATAAAATGGTTTCTTTCCTGTGTTGCACAGATGTCATCTATTCTGCCAACTTTCCTACACTTGATTGTCTGAAACCATGACACATTTTATCACCAATCAGACTGGGATTTCAATGTTAAGGCCCACATACTAAGACGGTGCCATTTCACAATTCAGGTGGAGAGTTGTGTTAATGCTACCCACTTTAGCAGCTGTTAAAGCAATCACACTTAAAGCAGTAACACATCACAGAAGCTTAACTAATAATAATAATAATAGTAATATACCATCAAATGGAACCTGACTTATGGCAACCCTCCCAGGGTTTTCTGGTTATAGACAGAAGTTTATCAATCCCTCCTTCTGGTGGCACTCTTGGACAGTGCAGCTTGCCCAGGTGGCAGGGCACATAGTCCCATCATCCACACATACTCTGGGTAATATCAGCTGGTCCCCCTCCACTGAGGACAAGTGTTTTAATGCATGGAGCTGTACAAGCTCAAAGGAAAACTTAAATTAGAGGTCTTTTGACTTGCTACTTTTCCTACAAGCAAGGAATTCTGATGGGAGGGGGCAGCCTTCAAGCATGCATTTCCTTCCCCACCTGCATTTAGCTCTGGCATAACCCTAGAAAAAAACAGAACACATGCTTTTTCTTAAAAGTGATCAATAAAATGAAAAAACGGCTTCTCTACCTGTATGAGAATATATGTACACGCATGCCTAGAAATATGCCTCCTCTCAATGATAAATATGCTAGGTAAAAACTGAACGTATAGTATCTCGACATATTAATGAATATATTCATAGAATATGTTCCTCCCTTCCTTCGGGCAGACAGACTGCACTCTTTCTTCCTATTGGGCACGTTTAGGTCTGATGGGGAGGCAAACCATTTTCTTACTCCGTCTCAGGCGGCAACGTATCTTGGGGTGATTCTGATGGCCACCTTCAGACAGAAACACTGGCTGGCAAGTGCCCCCTTCTTGGGATGTCACCTGGCTGTAAGGATGTGCGTATACAAAACCAACTCGGTGAGAGCTCGTGTTCTTCCCCTCTTCCAGTGCGATGAGGAGGTGGCTGGCCTGGCCACCGTGGCTGCAAGTCAAAGAAATGTGCCAGTGGATGGGTATAATACAACCTCCATTTTTGAAACTATCAAAAAAAGGTATGCAAACCTTGCAAAACCATTTTTCTTAAAAAAAAGAGGGACAAGTCTTTGTTGTATTTAGTCCATAAGAGTCCATTCCTGAGGGTATTGCACTTCATGACAGGAGGTGGCCTAGAAAGGTAATTTTGCCCAAATACCCTTTCTCCACCCACAAGATGGTACCATAAAAGAAACAAGTGCCAGGTTCGTCCTTTGTGGCAGCAAGAGCTACGAGAGAGAGCAGAACTGCCACGTGGGCCCCTATTATGTACTTCTTTCTCTCCCACAATACAGCAGTAGGTGGGAAGCACCTCACACGGAACCACCACAGCCACGTCGCGGGCAGTAGCCAACGCTCTCGACTGGGGAACCTTCTCTTCCCATTTTCAAAGGGGCCCGTGGGGGGGGGGAACGCAGGAGGGAGAGGCATTTGGCTCTCTAGAATCCTGAATTTGTTTTTGTTTTTTAAATTTTAATAGGCAGAGACAGACACGTTGTGCTTGAGTGGAGCATGACATGCAAGCTAATTAGGCTAATGTACCACTACACCGCTTTGCCACCCGCCCACCCATTCCTGGAAAAGCATCCAGCAGACCTTTCTGCCTATCTCTGCTCCCAATTCCATTCTGGAGCCACCTCGGTCATGGTGTCAAAGGCAAGAAAAACAGCATTATTTAATCCCCACCACCACTTTTTAAAAAAAGAAACACATAAACCAGTGACTGAGAAAAGCCAGCTATGCTCTTAATGACCCTTTCCTCATCCAAGTATCAGAGGCCTATACAATGATGCTCCCGAGTGGTTAGATTTTTCTTCTCTCTCTGACATTTTCACACACTGAGCTATGAACTTCTGGGTTCTAATGATCATGTTTAAGACACTTATTATGTGCCATCAAGTCAGAACTGACTTATGCCACCCCAAATAGGGCTTTCAAGATATTTAAGGGTTGGCTTTACCAGTTCTACAACCCCACTGAGTTTCCATGGCTGAGCAGGGCTTTGAACCCTGGCCTCCCGAGTCTTAGTCGGTCACTCTATCCGCTACTCCCCACTGAGTATGTTTAAGAGAGACTGATGGAACAAAATGCTTGGTATATGCTATTATAGAATGTTGGTGCATTCACAAGTCTGGGAAATGTGTTAAGAATGCTGTCATGAAGAATCCATTTGGGGCCTCTACACTGACTCAAATGGCACCTTGTGGATCCACTACATCCCTGAAAGGACATCCACAAAGCCTCCCTTGCTCTCCAGTTGATATTATTTCATCCATTTTTTCCTGGTATTGAAAATGTCTGATGTCTTCAAAACCAGTTCCGCAGCTTATGCTGGTGCATGATTCTACACACATACCTGTACGTGCATGGTGCAGCACTGTAAGCAAATGTGGGAACTGGGAATTAGAGGCAGGACAGTCACAGACTTGAGGAGCATGGCAAGGAACAAACAATGAACCTGCTTCTTACAGGGCCAGGCCAATCGGATAATGCCTTTAACATTGCCATGGATCAACCTTTCTCAACCATTGCTCTAAAATGACTAAAATGATCACCAGTCCAGACAAGAGTACTCCACTGCAACTGGAGGACACCAGGTTGGTAAAGGCTTCACTAGAAGTGCACATAGGGTGATGTTTGACCAGCCGGTGCTCTGATGTGCAGAGAACTCAACACTAAGGAAGTTTCCTTCTCCAACTCGGCAGCTGCCAGATGTCCTAACTAGAAATGGGAACAAAGTGCTTCTGAGTGCTTCATCCCAATTCGTACACGTGGTGTGTTGCCTGGGTTATCCTTCGTCACTGGCTGTCCAGTCCAGGTAGGAGCCTGGGCTTCTCTTCCCCGCCTCCTCCAGCAGCTGACCACTCTCCATATGTGCAGGGAGAATTACCATCCTGCCCCCTTTTCTGAGTGGTTGGCTATCAGAGGAGCCGGGGAACTGAAGTCTGGGCTCCTGTCTGGACTGGAAGCCAGCAATGGAGGACAACCCAAGTGGTGTGCCATGGCTTGTGAGTGGGGCAGCTGGCTGGGAAGAGGGGGGAGAGAAGGCGCAGCACCTGTGATGCTACACGTATGAATTGGGATGAAGTGCTATGAAGCACTTAGCGCCCATCTCTAGTGCTGATCCACATTCCTGATTGATGGCCTGCTGGCTGACTAGAGCTGATGGGAAATTTATCCTCAAACATCTATAAGGCCCAAGACTGGAAAACACTAATACGAGGCACAAAGTAAATACTCTGCAGGCAGAAGATCCCTGCCCGAGTTCCCAGCATCTCCAGTTAAAAAGATCTCAGGCAGCAACACTGGGAAAGCCTCTCTGCCTAAGGCAAAAGTGAGAGGCCTGTTACACATGATCCAAATGCTGATTCCCATCCCTATGTCTCCCAGTCAGGCTATCTGGACCCTCCTGGAGCCACATTCTTCACACCGTTTTGCTCTCTTCTCTCCTTCCCTTCTACTAGGCTGAAGGAGGAAACCCTGAACTGGTTGGGGAAGGAGATGGCCTTTGCCTGCGCTCTGCCTCACATACCAAGCAAAAGGTCGCACACCCATGGCATTACCCATTTTGGGTTCTGGCCCTTCCTACTGCTGAAATCCAGATTCCTGAAAGGAAGATGTTTCCACCGTCTTGACCTGAGGTCTCAAAGGGTCTCCTACAAGTTTGAACGGACAGTACTGGGTGAACTAGTGGTGCAATTCTCTATAACCAGCTTCGTATATTTTCTCAGAAAAAGTACAGAGGGTGTCAAATGGACCTTTTGAATCAATTGAGAATTTTGGATCAACCTTACCATGATCCTCTTTTCCCCTGGATGGTGTGAAGCCATCAAGAAGATCTAATACCTTCCTTGACCCTATCTGGCATTTGCCCTACTCTGGAAACAGTTCAGAAATGCTTAGTAAAAGGATTCTCCACTTTGAAAAGTGAATGTGTATATGTATATTATATATGTAAACCTATACATCTCTCTGTGTGTGTGTGTGTGTGTGTGTGTGTGTACACACACACACACACACACACACACACACACACACACACACACACAGAGAGACCCATCTGTCTTGAAGTCAGTCAGCTCCTTTCCTGTTCTTTATTATCCTCAGAGGCTCCTGGCTGCACCTGCTGTGCGTTGTTACCGGAGCTGTCACTAAGGACATTGATACCCCGTTGGAATAAGTCATATTTCAAAGCCCTCGCCAATGCGCCTTTCCAACAGATCAAGTAAGCATGGGAAAGGGGTGGGGAAAGACAAGGGACAGGATATCTGAAATGCCTGCTCAGAGGAAGTCTGTGGACATTCAGAAGGAGATCCTTACTGCTTTGAACCAAAGGAGGAAGGAAAGGAAACTCAAGAGGGGAAAGGGATTTTTTTTTAAAAAAAAAGTTACAGAAGAATAGAACAGAAGCAAGGAAACTGATCCAGAAACAATGATTGTGAAGCCCTGAGAAGCTAATATGTTTACAAGGACAACAACACAACTTGTCTACTGAAAAACACATCTCCACAGGTCACTCACCTCATAAGTGGGCCCTGGGTCCCCTGAATGTAATAGTATGCATTCTAATGATCACAATGGCCGATTTAAGATTGTGGGAAGAAATAACAATGATTTCTATACAGCTTTAGCAGCACAGAGTACAGAGCTATTTCAAGGAAGAAAATGCTTCTCATGAGTGCAGGAAATACTTATTTAGGAAGACAAAACATAAGATAGCATTTTAGGGGCTTGCATGTTGATACCTACATACCTACAACCACATAGCACCTTCTCCCCTTGCTCAAGATCCAAGCATTACCCCGCACTAGCAAGAGGGCAAGGTCAGCCTAAACAAAAACTGTGTGTGTGTGCGCGCACACAGAGACACACAGAGAGACACGTACATGGACATTTGGGCAGCAACTGTATGAAACAATTCTATATGCCTTTAAAATGCCAATGTATTTTGTTTTGTGTACATCCACTTCATAACAATGGAGCTCAGAGAATATAACATTTGCTCTCATAAGGGTGGATGGGAGGGAGCAGAAGGCATTACCATTAACGGCCCCCAGAAAGGGTGCAAGGGAAAATATCGGAAAAGGAGAAGCAAATGATAAGAGGAAAGGCAAGTCAGCTGCTGATTCCAGTCCTCTTGTCCTCAAACAGACAGTCCATGATTTAAGGCCACACTTTTGATAGGTTCGCTGAGCTAAATACGATAGGCAATCCTTTCAGATGCGCAGGGTTTAAAAAGGGGTTGGAGCATTTTAAAGCCCCTCTGACTTGCAGAAAGTCTCTTTGCTTGTTCACTGTTCTTTTGCTGCAGGGTGGCTCCTACATTGTCCTACCTAAGCCTTGGAGGGACCACAGGCTGCAGTTTAGTAAGTGGCCATGGCCAACCATATATGTTCAGGATTAAAATGTTCTGTACTCTGCAGGCACACGTGTTCAAATGGCATCACTTACCCTGCTTCTACTAAACAGAAAGCGCTGGAGGAGAATAGGAAGGTGCACAGAGTGCAAAGGCTCTGCCTAATGAAAATGCTGCTTATCCTTTCCTCCTGCTATCTAGGAGACTGGGTACTTTTCTTCATGTTTATGTGGTCACCTCTGGAGCCATAAGGGTTAAAAACTGTACCCGATAAAAAGAAGCATAGGAATACCTGATCCCTGATAAATAGGTGTGGCTATAGAATATACAAACTGAAATGCATGCAACAGGTTCAACATTTCCACTGTGGTGACTACAAACGCCCATTAATTGCAGCAGGAAAGAATGATGTAACATGATTTGCAAAACAGCACGGTGTCTGGTGGTGGGAGAAATCAAAACCTACAAAGGTATGAAGCTTACCACTATCCGAGCCTTGAGCTGGAGTCCCACGTGAAAGTGCAGAATTAAAGGCCCAGTAAGAGCAGCACTGGAAACCCCAGTGCTCCCTGAAAGCAGTGAGGGTGCTTTTTTTTAAAGGAGGGGGACGGTGGCAGGGAGGGCAGCACCAGCAAAATCTTATAGTCTCTCCCAAGAGCTGCTTTTCCTTTGTTAAAGCGGCCAACTCAATAAAAGCACCAAGAGTAACCACACTCAGGGAGGCTTAGTGTTAGTATACCTGAATGTTAAACCATTTGAGGCCACACTGAACAAGGCTACGTGTCCTGTCGGTTCTATACGATGATAGATCATCCCCCGAGGTGAAGTTGCTCATTCTGGAGCCATGCTTCTGAAACGAGATGGTGACTGCTTTGGGCCAGGATATGTATGCAATATGCTTTGTTAGAAGCTCTGTAGCTGCCCTTAACTCAATTTAAGGAGGGGGGAAAAAACACCAAAAAAAAAAAATTTCTGTATCCACCCCATATTGATCAAGGGGCTTAGTTATGTTCAGTCTCTCCGGCAGCAAGTTCTTACGGATCAGTTCTAAGTCACAGGCTTTGCGACATCATCTGCCAGCAGACTGAGACTGCGGAGCCATAATGACGTGTGACTGTACGGTCATGCTCAGTTCTGTCCTTTGACTTGCCATCTGAGTGAGGACTGAAGTGGCAACGGCTTCGGCAGCCGAGCGGACGTTCAGCCCGTTGGGAGAGGCTGTCACGGAACTGTGCTGGATGACTGGAGCTGGAGAACCGGTGGGCTCAGAGCTCTCCTTTGGGCTTTCTGGTTTTGCATGAGAGAGAAAGAAAAAGAAGAGAGAAACTGTGAAATAGGTTGCCCACCACATGCTCTTGCTTTTAAATACCTATAGATCTTATGATACTGCCTCTCCCATAATCCCTTACCAAGGGCTAGCCTGGCGAAGGCTAATAAAGGCCAACAACCTCTGAAGGTGAAAACCTTTCTGCTTTCTTGGAGCATCCTAGAAAAAGATGACCAATCCCAGACCAAACAGAATGAGTTGGCTCAAAAAACTTCACAGGTTTAGTTTCCAAGTAAAAAAACTTTAATAAAACAATAAAAGATCAGGCTTTTGACAAAGAAAATCATCCTGTCGTCTTCTGGATTACAAATGGCCTACTAGCTACATTTCATACGGTGATACATACTCAATGTGATTACAACACAAAACATTCAGGTATACTAATTGCTTAATCAACTTTCTGCTGTTCTAATGAACTTTCTGCTGTTCTCATTCTTATCTAAGAATGAGACTGATAAGGGAATCTTTAGAGATACATGTTAGAAATAATGTGGTTAACCAGGAGGAAGGGCAAAGACTTAGTGACTCGTGGCTTCCTGTAACTGGTCTCATTAGAACAGCAGAAAGTTGATTAAGCAATTAGTACACCTGGAATATTTTGTGTTGTAATCACATTGAGTATTATCACCATATGCAATGTAGCTAGTAGGCCATTTGTAATCCAGAAGGTGACAGGGTACTTTCTTGGTTGAAAACTTATGTTTTAATTGTTTTATTAAAGTTTTTTTTTTTACTTGGAAGCTAAACCTGTGAAGTTTCTTGAACCTCTGAAGAGCCAGTACTGCCCACTCTGGTTTAAAAGAACAGGCAAGTCTCCTGCTTGAAAGAGAGTGGGACGTTACTTGGCCGCAGGAGGGGTTTGGGATGCCACAGCTTACCTGACCCACCAGACTGAGAGTCCACAAGATGTCTTAGATGTTACATGGAACATCATGAGAAAATGTTGTTCTTCTTTACAGAGGAACTTATTTTCCCTGGAGCAAACCTGGACCTGCATTACGGACCAGTGACTCCACTTGGAATCCAGCACAAAGAGTTGCTGCTGTTCTTGGGATATATTCTAGACAAGAAGCTTGTTTGCGCACAGCTTAATGGCCCTGGACAACTTGAATGTCAAAAGTGCTATTGTCATTCAAGCTGCTACTGAATCAAGCTGCTTTTATCCCGGAGCTATTTGTGCAAGATGAAATACAGGAAAAAGAACAAGTCTCATAATAGGTATGCTATTGCTGTCCTCTACAAATATTTATATGCCTCTTAGTATGACTTCCCAAAATTTTAAGTGGACTACTGCTGGCTTTGACTTTCAGAGCCTATTGAGCAAAAAAGAACTTTTAGTATGGTAGATTGCAAATCGTGTTTTTTACTTCATTATCTCCTTGCAGTTCAAAATATTCTGGCATTCCACATACCACTCCCTGCCCAATAAAAATGATTTGCAAGGTATTGCAAATAAAATAACCCAACTGTGTGTAAGGAGGCTGTAATTCCATCCTGGCTTGCTTGCTTGGTTTTTTTTTTGTTTTTTTTTTGTTTGTTTTTTTTTGGCTTAAGGAGCTGGTTAGTCACAAATCCTAACAATAAACTCTGTGTGTATGTGTGTGCACCCTTAACACACACGTGTGCATCTGTGCATGCCTACAAGTGAGTTAGGAAAGAGACATTTCATTTTTATTGTTCAGACACAAACTGGATTTCTATACCTGCGGATAACACAAGTTAATAACATGAACTATGCAACACAGAAGTTAACAGGGAAGAAAATAATAATAATAAAAAAAGATTTGTGCTGCATTGTACACAAAGGAAGTGCCTGTGAAGGAAGAAAAGGGAGCTGGAGGAGGAGGTTTGGTTTCACTGCTACATTTCTCAAACCGTGAGTCACCCCGTAGTGAATCAAAATAAACAGCCTACGCCAGGAGCCCTGCAAGTGGCATTTGTGAATACCCCCAGTAGGGATCCCCTTCTGGCGCATCAACTGTTTTCTTTATTGCTGTTTTCCGAACCTTATGCCTTATTGGTCTCTTTCTCTTTCTCTCTCCTTTGCATCTTGACAAGCGAAAGAAAGTTCCTCTGCCAAAATGGCCTGCAGATGTTATGCAACAAGAAGCCAATCCAAAATCCATCCTCTCCAAGTGTCGAGGGGTAATACAGATTCCAGATTTCACTAACAGCATTAGTAAGCAATCAGAAGGACACAGCATGGAAAGAACGATGAAAGTTGGGAGGGAAGTAGGACAGGGACAAAAAGGGTTTTAAGGAAAGGAACAGATACTGGAAAGGAGATACAACTCCGATGGGCACAGCTGGGTTTCCTTGTGAAAGACACGGTTGCACTCGCTTCTTTAACTGATGCTGAAAGGAGTCCAGCCAAACTTGGGAGGCTAGACAGCGGGAAATCTGTGTTCAAGAACTACAGCTCCCAAAACACATATCTTTGGGAGATTTATCTGGGAAGAGGGAGGGTAGCAACTCTTGCCTGAGTAGCAAAACTCATTTCAGATCTGGAAAGATACCCCTACTACCAAAACTTCTCCACCAAGGAAACTTGCACTAAAAGGCAGACAGATGGTTCACAAAACTGATTCAAAATCCTGAGTTATGGCTGACAGGTTGGTTCACACAACCTTTCCTAACTACTTACAGTAAGGTGGCTTTCCTGGGCCTAATTCACACATAGGTGAAAGCAGCAAGCACATCTGCTCCCGTCTGTACATTCCACAGAGGGTCAGTGGCCAGGCTTAGAGATCCCTGCTGCATGAAAATGGCTGGTAAATTCATACATTTTGCAATTTTACAGGTGTAAAGCACCTGTTAAAAATGTCATGCAGAAAATCAGCAAAGCCAAGGCCAAATCTGAAATCCACTCTGTGGAAACTCGTCTAGGTTAGAGGCACATGCATGCACACCTTCTTGCCCCAGTTTTGCAGAACAGGTGTTCAGTTCTATTCACCGCTGAAAACAAAGTGGAGTCGGAGATTTCACACCTCATCATCTCAACCAAGAAAATCAGCAAAGCCAAGGCCAAATCTGAAATCCACTCTGTGGAAACCCGTCTAGGTTAGAGGCACATGCAAGCACAGGCACCTTCTTGCCCCAGTTTTGCAGAACAGGTGTTCAGTTCTATTCACCGCTGAAAACAAAGTGGAGTCGGAGATTTCACACCTCATCATCTCAACCAATTTCCAGATTCTGTTGTTAAAGAGAACTTTGTCTCCACAGTTATAATGTATGTGCGTACATATCTGTGCATGAAGGATTACTTTAAACTAGTATTTTGCAAAGTACAGAGATTCTGAATCTTGTACACTTTGTCCTCACTTGCCACACAAATAAGTCCTGAAGACCCCCACTTACCAAGATAACCTTGTGTTTTCTTCTGCAATGCAGTGACTGGGCAGTCCTTGTGAGCCAACAACAGCTGCTTGAGTTGAGCAACTTCATTCCTTAATAATGTTACTTCATTCTGTGGGGCAAAAAAACCAACACATGATTGGATCTCACTACACATGTGCAATAAGCCTATGGGGACAGCAAGGCATGGCATAAAATGGGAGATCCCATGTTGCAGACACAAGCCTGCCTTGAGGGCAAAAATTGATTCAGTCTCCTTGTCTTCCTTTTTGATGTCCAAAATCACCTATTAAAGCCCCTGGGAGAGAACCAGCTAAAAGTTCCAGGCGCACGCAAACAAAACTGGTAAAGACTCCAATGTGCTCCCACTGCTGAAAAATAAAGGCAGCCCGTCCCCAATGCCAGGAATCCAGGCAGAAGGACCCTGTTCAAACTCTGGGGTAGAGGAAAGAGAGAGCAAAGATGTGCTGGTGACCAGCCGGACCCAAAGCAGTTCCTAGTCGCTACTGTGCGAATCAGGATCTACTGTGCAAGGACAGTTGGCAAGGGTCACACAGCCTGTTTTAACATCTGAGCAGAAGCCTCTGGCACTCTAATCCTGTCACAGCAGTAGGGAACGGCTAGCAGCTTTTCAGAGGTAACATTTAAGGCCCGCATTAAATGGTGGGAAGATCAAGTCAACATCACACAAGATACCTTTTTGTTGAAAGTGAAGTCCGTATTAGGCAAATTTCTTTCTCTCTCTCTCTCTCTCAGAAGATGGGAGCATTCAATGCTGAGTTCAGTCTCACCTTCAAGAAGTCAGAAGGCAAGGCTTAACTCTTCTTCCTGGCAGGTGGGAATTTCTACTAACCTCCAGGAAGGTAAAGCAATGAAACAGGCAGAAAATTTCCACAGAATTTCAGTCAATCTGGGGCCACTTAACGATTGATCCAATCAGGTAAAAATTCTATATAAAACCAAAACTGAGGCCTATGTGATCATTCTACAGTCATTTGCCCTTCTGCCTGTTAACGGTTTATTCAAAACTGATTTTTTAAACATTCTACGGAAATCTACAAAAAGCATGGCTCTTAGTTATTTCTGCCAGTGTGGTCAAAAATAGGATTTTTGTTTTATTAAAACCTGTCATTGTTTATATTGATGTCTCCTGATTCTCTATGTTTTACTTCAACTTTTCGTCCAAAAGCTCCCTTCTGTTCTGTGGAGGAATATAAGCAATCTTCAGCCACTAAGCAAAGGTGTCCCAATGAATTCCAACAGACTTCTCCATTTATATCCCAGTGTGGATTGTTATTGTCTCTTCAGGATCCACATGGTTCCTATGCTCCACTGGGAACAGCTGACAGATCAAAAGGTCCAAATTGTTTCTCTGTTTCCTTACATACAACACAATAGGCCAGTATCTCCATCACTCCCAGGGCGAAGAAAAAGTAAGGAACTGAGGTCCAGAGCAGAACAAACTGCAGGGTCTTGGTGTGTCCCAACATTTGAAGATGTTGTAGCAATAGTTCATTCTAGAGATGGGGGTATTCATATTCATACAGTATACGAATACCACCCCCCACTGATGGAGATAATGAGGGTCCGGGGCTGGACTGTCCACTGACCGTTCCGTTGCGGCCACAAGCTCTGCATTCCTTTCCTATCGCTCTGGAGCTTGCGGTTAGAAAGCCACTCGTCAGCCTGGCAGATAGCTTTGTCATCCCGCCTCCTGCCAGGAGTGGCTAATCCATCGTAAGCTCCAGAGCGACAAGAAGGGAGTGCGGGGCCTGTGGCAGCAGCGGAACGGTGAGTGGAGGGTCTGGCCCCATCTCTAGTTCACACCATTCAAAAAAAGCACCCCTGGCACCATGTTCCAATTCTACAATGGCATGGCGAACAAGGAGTTGTCTTGTTCAGATACGCTTTTGAACTGATGTTTTCTGTATAAAACAACACATCCCACCTGGATACTCTGAGAATGAAATCTTTGAAAGCCCATTACATTGTAATTTTTGTGACTGAATGGTCGCCACAAGCAGTGTGATGTAATGGATATAAGTAAAGAATTAGGACTTTGGAGTCCCCAGCTCTGCCATGGAAACTCAATGGGTGTGTGTGTATGTTTTTGTGTGTGTGGGGGGGGGGACTGGGAAACCACTCCTTAAATATCTCACTCAACTTGAAAACCCTATCAAGGTTGCTATAAGCCAGTTCTGACTTAGCAGCACGTAACAGCAAACATGGAACAGTGGAAATAATAATAAAATAATAATAATAATGCACGGTAGACCGAATACTTACACTTAATTGGATGTTCTGTGATGTGAGTTCCTCTGCCTTCTTCTCCAGGGACGACACCCAGAGCTTACGTTTCTGGCGGCAGCGGGAGGCGGCAGCACGGTTCCGCTCCAGGAAACGCTGCCTCCGTTCATCCGGATCTTCATCCACTGTGCGTCTCCGTCTGCCTCCTGTGCTGGGTGTGGGCTGTGCTGGGGAAACCTGAGGGTTTAAGGACAGAAGGAGGCGACATGAAATAAACAAACAAGACCAATAAGCCAGCTCATGACTTATCAAGGCAGCCTTTGAAGATCTCAGCACTACTTGGCATTGAGGCAGAATGGAATACCGAGTGTTTAATTCTGTATCTTAACTGGTTTTTATTACTAGGCTGTCATCAAACAGAGCAGCAACTCAAGACATGTCTATACATCTTTATGTGGCTCAGGATCAAAGTCTGGAAATGTTGCTTTTTCTGGACTACAACTGCCAGCATCCCCCATCCATCATGGCCAAGAGTTAATGGGGATTCTAGGAATAAAAAATAAAATAAAATAAAATAAAATGCTTTTCAAAACTCTTATCAGATTATATTAAACACCAATTCAGAGGATTATATTCTTTTGACTTGGTTCTGTGTATGCTAGTAAATTAAAAAGAAGTTTTCTCAACGGTTTTATTATTATTTATTATTACTTTTATTTATATGCCGCGTTTCTCCCAACAAGGGACCCATATCTGTGCTTCTTTCCCTGTATAACCAACACAGTCACAAAGAATATGCCATCCTTTTATCATTTTGTTAGGGAACAAAGGAAATGAACGGTCAGGAGCAAGAACGGACCTGCAGGTACCCAACTTCATGCTACCTCACCAAATGGGTTCCGTAATTATGCCAGGCCAGTTTACACTTCACTGATACTCACTGTCAGTCAGGCAGCATATGGATAGTAAAGTTCTGGAAGCCAATCTAGCTGACAGAGCAGGTGGTGGTTTTGATGGAAGGCTGGCATTTGGTGAGCTGGCAGGATCAAATGGGGTGCATTTAAACCCAAGTAATTAAAACAGGAAAAGAGACAGAGGGAGTGAATATCTCAAAATATTGTTTCTATATTCCAGGCTGTGTTCCTATCGTCTGTGATATCTGAGTGGAAAATGCCTGGCAGCAATGACGAGAGAAGCAATGGAATATAGGACAGATCTTTACGCCTGTTTAGGAGGTCCAGAACTCTGTAAAAACCTCACATATTCTGCAACAAGAAAACCTGCATTTGACAACTGGAAAAACATATGCAACTGAGATAAATGCGCATTACATTTCCCATGTTTATTCTGATAAATGCCAAATCTAAAATTTTAGTGTAGGGTTCCTGGCAAATCAGAAAATAAACTGGTTCTCATGGGGGAAGGAGAAAGGAGCATTGGAAGACAAGGGTCTACAGCGGGTTTTACATAACATGGAGATCTGTAAGCCATGCAGTTTCCCATCTGATTTGTGCCACTGCTACTACCATTGAACTGTACCACTGCTGGCTAATCTCCTGCAGATTTTATACAAATTGCCCTTTCCCCAATGCACTAGCAGCAAGGTAAGATGGATCTGTACCAGGATTTCTAAAGAAGGGAGACTCTTCCTTATACAGTGGTGCCTCGCTTTACGATAGCCCCGCATTACGACAAATCCGCTTAACGATTTTTTGCGACCGCAAAACGATGGTCTAAATGGGGGAATATCGCTTTGCTTCGGGAACCAATTCTTTGCAAAACGATGTTTTTTAAACAGCTGATCGGTGGTTTCAAAATGGCCACTGGGTAGTTAAAATGGTTCCCCACTGTGTTTAGGGACGGATTCCTTGCTATACAGGCAATGAAAATGGCCACCGTATGGAGGATCTTCGCTGGATGGTGAGTTTTTACCCCATTTGAACACACTGAATGGGTTTCAATGCATTTCAGTGGGGTTTTTATTTTCGCTTTAAAATGTTTTCGCTTAACAGCGATTTTCCTGGAACAGATTATCGTCGTTAAGCGAGGCACCACTGTATGTCATTGCTCCTGGGGCACTAATTGTCCCCAAGTACATGGGATAGGCAACTTTTGGCCCCTCCAGATGTTTTGGATTATAATTCCCACAATTTACCACTTGCCTTGTTGGCTAAGGCTTCTGGGAGTTGAAGTCCAAAATACCTGGAGAGACAAAGATTCCCTGGTTCTACCCCAGAGTTTAGCCACCCTTTCTGTAACATGCCAGTTCTCTCTCGCCCCACCCCCTTAATCCCCTCTGTGTTTATGCAGACCTGTGGTTGGGCTGGAGAAGGTGCATCAGGATGCTGGATCAGGACTTGACCTTGTTCAGGATGAGACGTGACCATCGTACTTGCTGAACCGACCACCATGCCACTGCCGTTCAGGGACGACGTCACTCCTTGTGTCAGACTAGCTTTTAGCCTCTGTCAGGAAACCGGGGGGGGCAGGAAATTCAGAAAATGAGCAGATTCCCTCCTGTGTTCTTTAGAGGTTTTTTTATTTTATTAAAAACATTTTATTAAGTGCAATTAAACTACGCTTACAGCTTGGTCCAAGGTTGCTATAAGCCAGTTCTGACTTAGCAGCACGTAACAGCAAACATGGAACAGTGGAAATAATAATAAAATAATAATAATAATGCACGGTAGACCGAATACTTACACTTAATTGGATGTTCTGTGATGTGAGTTCCTCTGCCTTCTTCTCCAGGGACGACACCCAGAGCTTACGTTTCTGGCGGCAGCGGGAGGCGGCAGCACGGTTCCGCTCCAGGAAACGCTGCCTCCGTTCATCCGGATCTTCATCCACTGTGCGTCTCCGTCTGCCTCCTGTGCTGGGTGTGGGCTGTGCTGGGGAAACCTGAGGGTTTAAGGACAGAAGGAGGCGACATGAAATAAACAAACAAGACCAATAAGCCAGCTCATGACTTATCAAGGCAGCCTTTGAAGATCTCAGCACTACTTGGCATTGAGGCAGAATGGAATACCGAGTGTTTAATTCTGTATCTTAACTGGTTTTTATTACTAGGCTGTCATCAAACAGAGCAGCAACTCAAGACATGTCTATACATCTTTATGTGGCTCAGGATCAAAGTCTGGAAATGTTGCTTTTTCTGGACTACAACTGCCAGCATCCCCCATCCATCATGGCCAAGAGTTAATGGGGATTCTAGGAATAAAAAATAAAATAAAATAAAATAAAATGCTTTTCAAAACTCTTATCAGATTATATTAAACACCAATTCAGAGGATTATATTCTTTTGACTTGGTTCTGTGTATGCTAGTAAATTAAAAAGAAGTTTTCTCAACGGTTTTATTATTATTTATTATTACTTTTATTTATATGCCGCGTTTCTCCCAACAAGGGACCCATATCTGTGCTTCTTTCTCTGTATAACCAACACAGTCACAAAGAATATGCCATCCTTTTATCATTTTGTTAGGGAACAAAGGAAATGAACGGTCAGGAGCAAGAACGGACCTGCAGGTACCCAACTTCATGCTACCTCACCAAATGGGTTCCGTAATTATGCCAGGCCAGTTTACACTTCACTGATACTCACTGTCAGTCAGGCAGCATATGGATAGTAAAGTTCTGGAAGCCAATCTAGCTGACAGAGCAGGTGGTGGTTTTGATGGAAGGCTGGCATTTGGTGAGCTGGCAGGATCAAATGGGGTGCATTTAAACCCAAGTAATTAAAACAGGAAAAGAGACAGAGGGAGTGAATATCTCAAAATATTGTTTCTATATTCCAGGCTGTGTTCCTATCGTCTGTGATATCTGAGTGGAAAATGCCTGGCAGCAATGACGAGAGAAGCAATGGAATATAGGACAGATCTTTACGCCTGTTTAGGAGGTCCAGAACTCTGTAAAAACCTCACATATTCTGCAACAAGAAAACCTGCATTTGACAACTGGAAAAACATATGCAACTGAGATAAATGCACATCACATTTCCCATGTTTATTCTGATAAATGCCAAATCTAAAATTTTAGTGTAGGGTTCCTGGCAAATCAGAAAATAAACTGGTTCTCATGGGGGAAGGAGAAAGGAGCATTGGAAGACAAGGGTCTACAGCGGGTTTTACATAACATGGAGATCTGTAAGCCATGCAGTTTCCCATCTGATTTGTGCCACTGCTACTACCATTGAACTGTACCACTGCTGGCTAATCTCCTGCAGATTTTATACAAATTGCCCTTTTCCCAATGCATTAGCAGCAAGGTAAGATGGATCTGTACCAGGATTTCTAAAGAAGGGAAACCCTTCCTTATACAGTGGTGCCTCGCTTTACGATAGCCCCGCATTACGACAAATCCGCTTAACGATTTTTTGCGACCGCAAAACGATGGTCTAAATGGGGGAATATCGCTTTGCTTCGGGAACCAATTCTTTGCAAAACGATGTTTTTTAAACAGCTGATCGGTGGTTTCAAAATGGCCACTGGGTAGTTAAAATGGTTCCCCACTGTGTTTAGGGACGGATTCCTTGCTATACAGGCAATGAAAATGGCCACCGTATGGAGGATCTTCGCTGGATGGTGAGTTTTTACCCCATTTGAACACACTGAATGGGTTTCAATGCATTTCAGTGGGGTTTTTATTTTCGCTTTAAAATGTTTTCGCTTAACAGCGATTTTCCTGGAACAGATTATCGTTGTTAAGCGAGGCACCACTGTATGTCATTGCTCCTGGGGCACTAATTGTCCCCAAGTACATGGGATAGGCAACTTTTGGCCCCTCCAGATGTTTTGGATTATAATTCCCACAATTTACCACTTGCCTTGTTGGCTAAGGCTTCTGGGAGTCGAAGTCCAAAATACTTGGAGAGACAAAGATTCCCTGGTTCTACCCCAGAGTTTAGCCACCCTTTCTGTAACATGCCAGTTCTCTCTCGCCCCACCCCCTTAATCCCCTCTGTGTTTATGCAGACCTGTGGTTGGGCTGGAGAAGGTGCATCAGGATGCTGGATCAGGACTTGACCTTGTTCAGGATGAGACGTGACCATCGTACTTGCCGAACCGACCACCATGCCACTGCCGTTCAGGGACGACGTCACTCCTTGTGTCAGACTAGCTTTTAGCCTCTGTCAGGAAACCGGGGGGGGCAGGAAATTCAGAAAATGAGCAGATCCTGTGCTGTGTTCTTTAGAGGTTTTTTTATTTTATTAAAAACATTTTATTAAGTGCAATTAAACTACGCTTACAGCTTGGTCGCCCATGACCAATTTAACACTCCTATGTACATAAACTATATATCGCCCATGACCAATTTAACACTCCTATGTACATATAAATAACTATATATTAGTATACTGCTTTTCATGCAGTCAGTCATAAAAAAGAGGGAGAAGAATTGAAGAAATAAATGGAAACCAGATTGCATCCAAGTTGCTGGCTTCAGCATGGTCTCTTTGTTTCTGTCCTTCTTGAGCCCGTTTTCTAGCTAATGACATTCTTTTATACCATGAGTCACTTGTTAAATCCTTCCTCTCCTTCCACCTTTTCATCATGTCTTGTCTGGCTACAAACAACAAGGATGTTGATAATTCTTTAAGTCTAGTCTTGGCCTCCAAGAAGATGCTCAAAAGGGATGCCACTGGATTTAGGGAAAAATATCATTAACAATACAATTAACCTCTTTGCTAATTCTGAACCAAAACTGTGAAATAACAGGATATGCCATCATAGATGGCAAAATGATCTTACACTACCATGTCCTTTTCACCCGAAGTCAGATATATTAAGAGTCACATGTGCCTATTTCGCTGGTATAAGGTGGCATTACTATATAGGAATAAAAAATAAAATAAAATAAAATAAAATGCTTTTCAAAACTCTTATCAGATTATATTAAACACCAATTCAGAGGATTATATTCTTTTGACTTGGTTCTGTGTATGCTAGTAAATTAAAAAGAAGTTTTCTCAACGGTTTTATTATTATTTATTATTACAATAAAATAAAATAAAATAAAATGCTTTTCAAAACTCTTATCAGATTATATTAAACACCAATTCAGAGGATTATATTCTTTTGACTTGGTTCTGTGTATGCTAGTAAATTAAAAAGAAGTTTTCTCAACGGTTTTATTATTATTTATTATTACTTTCAAGTAAGTCATGGAGTAGCTGTTTAATGTAGGAATATTTTACAGATCTCAGGAGCAAGGACCTTTTTTCCGTGGTCATTTTTAGATTTTCAAAGCCATGGAGCAGCTTACTGGTATTTCCCTTTTGACTGTTTTCAGAAGTATAAAACATCCCATCTGACATCTATGCATCCAGATACTGGGTGCAGGTGGTACACTTTCTGGTATGTGTTGAGTCATAAGGGGATGAGCAAGTTAGCACTTTTCCACCTTGGCAACTTATTTCATCTTACCCAGGTGGTAGAACAATGGGTGTAAAAGTACGAGAGTTAAGTGGGAGTCCTGAGTATACTCCTGTACTGCAGTGAGTCTTGGACCCTTTGTGCACGGCAGGAGAGGAAGTTGAATACGTTCCATGTGCGTTGTCTCCGACGCATTTTTGGTATCACCTGGCAGGACAAAGTTCCAAACAGAGTTGTCCTAGAACAAGCTGGAATTTTTAGCATATATACATTACTGAAACAGCGACGTCTACGTTGGCTTGAGCATGTTGTGAGAATGGCTGATGGATGGATTCCAGAAGATCTCCTGTATGGAGAATTAATGCAGGGAAATCACCCCAGAGGGAGACCACAGCTGCGATACAAGGATATCTGCAAGTGGGATCTGAAGACCTTAGGAATGGACCTTAACAGATGGGAAACACTGACATCTGAGTGTTCAGCCTGGAGGCATGTGGTGCAGCATGGCCTCTCCCAATTCGAAGAGACCCTGATCCAGGAGGCTGAGGCGAAGTGGCAATTCTGAAACCAGTAAAATCAGGGAGCTGGACAGGGGACAGATTGGATTTGTCTTCAGTGTGGAAGGGATTGGCACTCTCGAATTGGCCTTCTCAGCCACACTAGACATTGTTCCAAGACCTCTATTCAGAGCACTTTACCATAGTCTCTGGAGACTGAAGGATGCCTACCTACAAGTGGGAGTCAATATTCTAAACCTTCTAGTCTAAATTTCCAGAGTGCATTCTAAGAATGGAATTGTTGTTGCTGTTGTTATTGAGGAGGTTTTGAGGCAACATAAGACAATTTTCCCTCTTGATCCTATTTCCAGTTCTATAGACACCCATTGCTCTTCTTTATCCTGTTTTGGAAGCGAAATCAGACGGTAAATGTAATGATAACACCATATGTGATTAGATTGTCCTAATCCCCCCTTTTTGCTTATTTAGGAACCTTAAGAATTTGGTTATGCATGGTTTTTGTTTTTTTGTTTTTAATTTGAAAACACAAACTTGCCAAAAGCAAACCACCACTTTAATATAGTTTCTCGTGTTGATGTAAGAGATAAAATCTGCAATGACAAAAAAGTCAGTTTCGGTAGCATTGCCATTTTAGTGGCCAGGACTCTGCCTAACCATGATAAGTCTCAATGTGAATTATCTAAGAAAATCTCATTTTATTTGGTACCATAATGGTTTAAAAATATTTTTTCTTGTTTGTTTTTGGAATATTGATACCTAAGCATTTAAATGACATCATCTTTTTATTGATATGTGCAATTAACTTTAAATTTAGGGGTGGGTCTGGTTGCGTACTATGTAGTACCTAAGCAAGGAGCCTCCAATTCAGTGCAGTCACTATAAAGATCTGCTGTATCCCCATATTACAGTGGTACCTCGACTTACGAACTTAATCCGTATTGGAACGTTCGTACATCGAAAAATTCGTAAGTCGAAGTACTGAAATGCATGGGAATGGAATTAATACGT